CACCCTCACTGAGACTAGCTTTCCACCCTCACTGAGACTAGCTTTCCACCGCTTAAAGGAATCCTTCTTCAGTTCTCTGGTCTTCTTCAATTCTGTGGTCCTCATCAGTACTCTTTATTCTTTTTCTCTTTGACGTGTTCCTGTTGCTATTCTCCTTTCTGCTCTTCTCTTTTTAAATTTGTTGTATACACTTTCCATATATTATTCCCATATACTATTTTTATGCATATATCAAATGCACAACAAAGTTTATACTACTGCAATAACTCAGGTAATGTATATGTCCATTAAAATAAAAAATAGTATTATCTACAGTTCTTGCAAAAAAGAGCTAAATGTACCAAGTAATGAATGTTCTGAATGAATGTAGTATAAATGAGAAAGGTATTTTCTAATCATTAAGTCGCAAACATCAATCTATCACAAACAGAACAATTTTTTCCCATTAAAATTAAAATTTAGTAAAGCAGGGGAGAAATGTGATAAATGAGAAGGGAGGGGAAGGGGAGGGGGAGCAACAAGGAAGTAGGGGGGAAAGAACAGCAGCATCTTGGCGCTCCCCCCCCCCACGTACACTGATTAATCTGAGGTTTTCAGAAAAAAAGCCCCAATATTTTCATGTTGTTTTTCATTCTGGGGAATTTTAGATGTCCAAATAGGAAAATATATAACAGAGGAAAATAAATCTTGTCTTTCTGTCTGGTGAAACAGAGTTTTTAAAATCCCCAATGTGTCACATCAGAGCTAAAACACTAAATGCTTGAAACAAATGCATTTAATCAAAGATAGAAAAAAAATTAAAAAGATAAGGAAAGTAAAAATGAAAACAACCAATTATATATTCCACAGAGTGGATTATATAAAAAAGAGCTTAATTTAATATTTTGGGTCTGTTATTGAAACTGAGATTTTCTGGAAAAGCAGCAAAATGCCATTCAGCCAAAATAAAGTTCTTTAAAATTGGTTACTTAAATTTCTTGCTGAATAGCTGTAGTTAAAGCTCAAAGTTTATCAGAAGCCTTGCTCCAAGTACCATAAATTTTCGAAGAGGGTCCCTCTTACTGCTATATATTGGAAGCTGACTTCTAACACTGGTGGTAGTCTGCCAGTCTTTTCGATTACGATTGCAGTTCCAGTTCAAAATATTGCAAACATTGCTGAATCCAGATTGATTAAAAAAAAAAAGAGTAAGAGGAAAAAGATTGGTTGGGGTCAGCTGATCTTACTGACAAAAAGCCCTCCTTGTCTCAGCTGCCCTTGATATTTCCAGAATCTGGGTAGAAACCTGATTGATCAAACTCCCCTGTGGGTTCACGTGTCAGTTGGGTCTCCTCTGTGGGGGAGAGGTAAGGATAGAGAACTAAATTCCCTCCTTCCCTAGTGTTGTTTGCCCCACAGTGAGAAAAGACTGGAGCCTTTGAAAGTGCTCCTTTTCAGGTCACCATGCTTAACAACTTTGGGGGGGGGGGAATTAGACAAATGTATGGAGGATAGGTCTACTGATAACTGTTAGCTAGCAGATTCAGAATACTCTTCTGACTATGCTGGGATGTTGCTTTCAGGGCCTGGTTTTGAGTTTCCTGGCTGGTCACTGATGGAGAAAGAGTGCTGGATTAGACAGATTCTAGGTCAATAAAGGTGATTAATCTTGATCGGGCTAGTACTTTAGCTCAAGCAAGACGTGTATGTTCCACTCCTGCCTTGGGTATTCCTCCTCCGGAATTTCTTCCTCCATATACTAGATCCCTAAAAATACCTAGTTATAAACGTGTTTTCTCTCTTGCTAGGCTTAACTCTTTTCCCACTGCTGAGTTAACAGGTCGCTTTTCTAAAGTCCCATATTCGGATCGCTTATGCAACTGTGAAACTGGAGCTGTGGAAACAATTGGCCATCTTCTATTATTATGTCATCAGTGGTCGACTCCTAGATCGATTTGGATCATTCCAGTTCTTACCAAACACTTATTACCTACTGAACTCTGGGTGGTCCCCTATCTGTTGGCAGATACTAATCCTGAAACCACTTATTCTGTCACTAAATTTTTAATGATAGTTTTATCTGTAAAGTGACAAAAATCTGGCTTGACCCAACTGTAACAGAATTTGGTATACACCCAGTTATTATGATTTAAATGGGTATTTAAATGAATTATAGTTTTATTAATGACTTCTTTTTTAACATTTTAGATCTTTTAGATTTGATTACTAAGACTGTACTTTTATTGTAAAGTTCGTATTATGAGGCTAATGTTGTATATTCGTCTTTTATAATTGAGCTTAAGGCCTTTGGTCATAGAAGCTAATAAATATAAGTAAGTAAGGATTCTGGGTCTGATCTATCAGGTGTCTTACATTCTCAGAGGAGGGTGGATTCTGGTGATGAAAGTTACTGGCCATCATTTCTCATATTCTCTGTTCCTTTGCAGGTATGTAAATACTCTTCTGAAGCTCATCCCACCTGTACTAGGGCTCCAGGAACAGCTACGCCAAGCAGTTCAGAGCAGGGATATGGAGACTTCTCATGGGATCTGCCGTATTGCTGTGGCCCTGGGGGAAAACCATTCCCGGTGAGTTCTGCTTGCTTGAAAATGGGTTACCTTTTGAGACTGCTCATCTGGGGACGGGCTGGGGTTCTTTCCTCTGTCCTGCCAGATCTCCTGACAGCTAAGCAGCATATCGGTTTCCCAAATCTCTGTCTAAAACAGCTATGATCAAGTGGGTGACCTGGACATTCTTACCTCAACATGGTTATGTAGGAGCCTTAAAATTCCATTCCTCGTGGAAACTTACACAATCCTAGCTCAGTTCTAGTAGTACAGCTTGCTAGAGCTTTTACTTTATGGATCGCTGAGTCTCTTTCAGCTTTCTTCCAGGCTTTGATTGAAGCAAAGGGGCTTGTTACACTCATATCATCTGAGTTTGGAGCGTTTGATGTTCTGTGACAAAGCATATGTTTGATGTTGCATGCCTAATACCTCCCACAGAGCCCTCCTGGACCAGGTAGACCACTGGCAGAGTTTCCTGGCACTTGTCAACATGATAATGTTCTGCACTGGGATTCCTGGACACTATCCTGTCAATGAAACCACCAGCTCTCTTACACTTACTTTCTGGTATACACTGCAGGTAAGTATTAGCCACCTTTCTGAAGTGGGCTTCCTTACTGGCATCTTCCCAGCTTGATATGATGTTGCACCATCTTTTCTGCATATACGAATACATTTGTATATCACTGGCATCAATGTCAGCCTTGGATTGCCTGTAATGGAATTTTTTGCCATGGGGAAACCATTCTCAGACTGAGCTTTAGGCTTTGTAGTGGAAATTCGTGTGTTCCTCCAGGCATAGGTCAAAGATCAGGCTGTGTGATAAGGCTGTATTGTCATGTTGCTCAATAGGGTTTTCCATTCATGTTACATTGCACTGGAGCTGGATGCCAGTTAGATTTTGTTCCAGTAGCATATCTTCTGGATGTGACCTGGATGTGCATCTGTGTATCTAGTGTTTTCTATAGGTGCTAAAAAGAGTTGAAACCCTAGAATTTTAGCTGTGAACCAGATACATTTTAGAGTAGGCAAAGCATTGCAGTGCTGGGTCTCAAGCACCAAATTAAGTATTCTTGGAGCCTGTGGAGCTCAGTGCTTCACTTCTTATATTTTAGCTGTGTTCTGATGGGGACTTACCTCCCTGATACAATAAGGTGATGGTTGATGTGTTCTCTGTCCTTGTGGTAATGGGCATTACTGAAGCATCCCATCTTCCATCAATGACCTTGTTCAGGAATCTCTGCTTGGCTAGGCACTTTTTTTCTCTGTGTCTGACAGGCAAAGCTGTACTACTCCCAGTACCAAATTCTGAGGTTTCACAAGTGCTTGAATATGTCTGTTTTGGTGTATGCGTATACTGCTATACTAATCAGGCAATCCTGTACAAAGTTACTGCTCATTGAAATCAGACAGGAGTAATGCTGTACAGGATTTCATTATAAGAGACAGAAGCAGGGTGACCAGTGTGACTTGCCGTCCCCACCACCACATTTCATTGGAGTCCAGAAGCCTCATTAGCATGGCAAATTAGCTTGCCACACTCCTGCACTGTTCAAGAACAAGGCTGTTGAACTGCTGGTTCTCTTGGTGTCAGCTAGATAAGGGATGAGGTCAGGCTCTGTTTCTGTGTGTGACTGGTGCAGTCCTCGAATTCAAAGGCACATCATTATCAATGAGGGGAGCAAAACTGAAACATCATCACATATAAGCTATTGGAGAACAGACACTAGGAGAAGACTTGGAGGGGGGTGTCTATATTTGACTTCTTTATGCTCTGGAACAAAAGGGTCTTGGCTGACTTTCTTAGTTTTCTGGGTTCATGCTTGCAGCTTCTCTCTTCCTCTACTTTATGCACACAGACACACTACATTTAATTCTTACCTTAATGTATCCCCAGGTGCTCAGTTTCATTTGGGAATTAGCAGCAGAGTCTATACTGACTGGCACAAAAACACTGTAGAACAAATGTTGTGTCACTGTGGAAACTTGTGCATGCCTCAGTTGGCCCAAAACATTGGTGGTGGAAGGAAGCAGATGGGTGGTCATTGAAGATGGAAGTCAGTGGTGTAGGTCAGCTCCTTTTCTGGATGGCTTCTGTTTTTACCTAGCTGATGATGGTGGATTCAGATGAAACAATACTACTAAGGTTGTGGGCTGACTGATGCAGGGTAGCATAGACCCTTCTCCTGTTGTATGTTTTCAGTATTAGCATAGATCCTTTTCTGTCTAGCATAGACACGTTTTCACTATGGTCAGTTCAGTGCTGACAACCCAGGTGAAGTAATTGATCACTGAGTGTTGGGGAAACCTTCAGTCTTTGTTTTGAGCCTACTGCAATTTCTACCCACTACACCGGATCTAGACAAATTTTAGCATTTGGGCTGCTAGGAGTGGGAGTTCTGGGAATGACAGTTCTGCCACTGTATATGTGACAGATTAGACTAGCAAAGCAGAATTCTTATGTGAAGAAAGTTGACTTTAGAATATAAATTCTGAGACCCATACAGAGGTTTCTACAAAAGTGAGGTCATATCCTGTGACCACATCAAACTGTTGGGGACAGATCATGTTACACTAGGAACACCAATGTTCTGGTTCCATTTTCCAGTCCCCACCTAAGAAACAGTTCCTTTCTTTGTAGGATGACATCCTCTCTTTTGAGCCAGAAAAACAGGCCATGTATCAGCAGGTTTATCGGCCTGTCTACTTCCAGCTGGTGGATGTGCTCTTGCACAAGGCTCAGTTCCCTTCTGATGAAGAGTACAGTTGCTGGTCCTCTGATGAAAAGGAGCAATTTCGGATATACCGGTATGACCTTTTGCCAGGCTGTATCCTATAATCTTTAGATAATGCAGCACCCTTGTGATCTGCAGAAGGGTGAGTTGGTCTTGTTAGCAGGAGGTTTAACTGCATGGAAGAATGAGAGACTGTTAAAAGGCATATGTGCATATTCTTGAAAGGACAGCATTGATGGACAATAATGTGGAAATTGCCCTGAGTTGCCTAGGGACTGCAACTACACCAGCAGTTTCTGTCCAGCAGCTGCACTGTATTGTGTGGGTCGAACAGTGACTGTTTTCTGTATTGTCCTCTTCAGAGTGGACATCTCTGACACTTTGATGTATGTGTATGAAATGCTTGGAGCAGAGCTGCTGAGCAGCTTATATGACAAGCTTGGTCGTCTCCTAACGAACACAGAGCAGCCGACATCATGGCAGGTGAGTGGGGCCTGTACCCTTGACTAGAAACATGAAGCTAACTGCAAGCAGATTTTAACTTTAATTTTTGAGTAGTGTCCGAAATATCCTGGCTAAGATTGGAAAGAGAGGAGCAGCAATGGGATTCGTTGAGACTGCAGAGAATCTGTGGGGCAAACTAGATGTGATGTAGGAGATTCTGATGAGTAGTAAAATGGTGTTGGAGAAGAGGTGATTTACTGTTTCCTTCCTACTAACTCAGAATGGTGGTGAAGAACAGGCAGGCACAAAAGCAGCATTTGTTGTTGTTTTTTGGCTTCTTGTTCTAATTGCAGCTTTGGGGGCAAAATCAGGGAAATGGCACAGAAGAAAGGGGTGAAACACCCCTTCTCCCAGCACTTCTTTCCTCATCTTCAAAACAGCTATGTGGAGATGTTACTTAAGAGAAATATATGGAAGATCCCCATCATAGCTTTCCTCTATCACATCTAGTTTGAACCTTGGCTTGAGAATTTTGAGGAGGAAGAAGAGACCATTAAATCACTAGAGGGAGAGGCTTAAATTTTACAAAAGTTTGAAAAGTTTTTAGCACTAATGATGGGGTCTGAACTATGATTACCTTAATCTCTTTATATCATAGCTTAGTATACAAACCATAACATGAGAATGGAGGTCTGGCTTGGGGCCCTAACTTGCCATTTGCTAATTCTTGTCTAGAATGTGACATTTTGTCACTCATGACTTTTGCAGGGATTTTAACACAGTAGACACATTCTGCAGCAATTGCCAAATTCTGCAAAAAAGTGTCCAATAGCAGAACTGCTGAATCCCAAATATCTGCTCTATCAAGTAATGCCATCAGCTGGTGGTTCTTTAGTTTCAGGCCAAGTTAGGGCTGCTGAGAAAATGCCTGGAGTCTGGGTGAGTCATTATGGGGGCTTGGAAGGCTGAGATTCGGCTGTTTCTATGAGGATAAATGAGGACTCCTGTCCCACTTTCTTCACTATGACTCCTGGCCCTTCAGTTTGAAAAGTAATGTGCTGGTATCCTCCAGTGCTATGACAGGAGTAAAGCCTAGTCAGGGGGGTCCCTATATGGCAGCTAATCAGCATGCATATGCTCACCTCAGTGTGTTGTTAGCATGCTTTTGGCACAGAAAACAGTGATGGGTGTCAAATGCCAATGACCGTAAGGCTCATCATTCATCACTGTTGACAGCCAAGTAAGGAACTGATATGGGCTGTGATTTGCAGGCAAGCCTTGATGCAGCAACAGTCATGCCAGCACACTCAGCATGCAGCCCCCGTTATCCAGGGCCTTGTAGGATAGTCAGAGGGAGGATGAGTTCAGGTCCTCTGTCACCCCCTGTACAGGTATAGACATATAGCCATTGCTGTCCAGGATGGCAGGCTGGGTTTGCACTGGACAAAGTCAGCAAGCGTTTTTTGTTGCTGGGAAATAGTGGTCTTTGGCCTGTTGAATCAGAGTTAACTCGCTAGGAAAAAGAATGCCCCTGCAAAAGAGTTTAGTAGTACAAATACAGGTGTCTTCCAGTAATAACTATAAGTAATTAATAAAATGTGGAAAACTCACTTTTCTGAGGAAGCTGGTCTGCATGTGTTTTGTTAGAATGGAATCTGAAGTGGGACTGTTTCCAAATGCTGTTTCTTGGGGGGCGGTATTGTTTGTATTGTGGTTATTGTTGTTACTCGCCTTGGGTTCCAGGTATCTGGGAGAAAGGCAGGTTTATAAATATTTAATATAAACACATGAATAAACTATGTTGCCTCCATTGGCATGAGGCACTGGAGGCAGGCCATGTGCTCAAGAGACAAATCTTTCTTTCTTACAGCATACAGAAGCTTTGCTTTATGGGTTCCAGTCCATTGCAGAGACTATAGATGTAAACTATTCAGACGTGGTTCCTGGCCTTATTGGGCTCATCCCCCACATCAGCATCAGCAATGTGCAGCTTGCAGATACTGTTATGTTCACTATTGGTAAGGGGACAAGGCATCGGGTGGGGGAGGTTGAGCTTGGAAGATCTGAGGCTGTCCAGTTGTTGCAGCATGAATTATGGGACTCCTTTGGAAAGCTTATGGAGGGGCTGCTGGATCCCAGTGAGATCTATGTTCATATGCTGTTGCACATGTAATGTTGCTTGGGTAGGGAAGGGGTTCTCTGAGAGGTACTCATAGCATTTGGAGCATTAAGTAAAACAAGCACAAACTGTGCATCTTATCTGTTACCTAGGGGCCCTCTCAGAGTGGCTTGCTGACCACCCGGTCATGATCAACAATGTGTTGCCCCTGGTGCTGCAGGCTTTAGGCAACCCTGAGTTGTCCATCTCCAGTGTCTCCACCCTTAAGAAGATCTGCCGAGAATGCAAGTACGACTTGCCTCCCTATGCTGCCAACATTGTTGCTGTCTCCCAGGTAACTAATAGAAAGGTTTATGAACCTTTTTAGGCATACAAAAACCTACAGCTCAAAACTAAGTAGCTTTATGTAAAGTAGACATAATTTTACAGGTGTTCTGAGCAGGGAACATTCTGAGGATCTCTGAGTAGTGTTCAGAGTTGGGAATTGAACAGAGGAAACATCTGCTGCACTTTTTTAGATCTCTGCTTTCTGTGAGGAGGAATTGGTTGGAATAACTTGAATCTATCTGTACTGATCTCAAGGTTGTCCTCTCCTGTTGTTGTTAGGACATCCTAGTGAGTAAACTCTACTGTGGGAAGAGTATTCACTCTCTCATATTTTCCTTCTGTAGGATGTGCTAATGAAGCAGATTCATAAGGTAAGACTTTTATTTGCTCATCATTTCCTGATGGGGTACCAAAGGTCAGAGAGTATGTAGAAGTAGAGGTTACCTACTTGACTATTATTTTAGCAAAAATCAGCATTACAGTCATTGAGAGGAGTATTGGAAAAACCAATGAAATGGGATGTCCTGTTCTTTTGGAGAGAATTTAGGGATGTGGCAGAAAATAATTCAGATTGAGGCAGCTGTTTTCCTCCAGTTCAGATTTGAGCCTTGGCATTGTCTCAAGGAGTAGAAGGAGGTGGAATAACAGTTGAAGTGTGTTTTGTGATGGCTTTCTGTGGATGAGCGAGAAAATCTGTATCATTCTGTCCTCCAGACAAGCCAATGCATGTGGCTGATGCAAGCTTTGGGCTTCTTGCTGTCTGCTCTCCAAGTGGAGGAGATCTTGAAGAATCTGCACTCACTTATTACTCCTTACATCCAGCAGCTGGAGAAGCTGGCTGATGAGATGGTAAGCTACATTACTTGCTTTATTATTATTTTTCTTCCTTGAGGGAAAAAACAAGGCTTGTTTTGTGCAAGATGCTGCTCTTCCACGTAAAAGATTGTGTATATTTGTGTGTGTGTTTGCTGCTGTTGGAATCTCGTAGATGAATAATTATTGTGGATGGAATGTTGGAAACCACACTCTTCTTTATAGCTCTGCTGTCCCTTTTTGTTACTTCTTTGTTTTAGTACTGTCAGTCCCCACATGAGTTTCAAATAGGCTGCAGCTCTTCCTTCCATGGCCCTGTTACCTTTTAGTTTGGTGATAAAAGGCCTGGAAGAACATATTGTTGAATAATTAGTAGCCTTATACCATGAGCCCGGTTTTAATTGTAGTGATGTCTTGCCTTGCAGCCCAATCCCTCCAACAAGCTTGCCATCATCCACATCCTAGGTCTTCTCTCCAACCTCTTTACCACTTTGGACATCAGCCATCATGATGATGATCATGAGAGCACAGAGGTTAAGAAGCTGCCCGTGCCTCAGGGCCCCAATCCGGTGGGTGTTGCCATATATGTGGGTAGGTTTTCTTGTGTGTGTACATGAACACAGTCTAGTGTCAAGGGGCTTCTCTGTTTCTCTGCAGTGTAACTGCAGGCGCTTTCTTCTGATGATTTGAGAGGGTGACACAGAATGTAACTGAAAGGGATGAGAAATACATCAGGACACTTACATTTCTCACTGAGACCCTCTGTTGCAGCCAGACCATCATAATCCCAGATAATGAGTTATTTGCGTCGACCACTAAATGGCCTGAAGAGAGCCAGAACATCCCTTCACAGAGAGGTTTAAACTTTGTATGCATTTGTGGGACATCCACCAAGAAAGTGTTAAGTCCTCGTCTAGTTCTGGCCAACCAAATTTAAATCTTGTATTGGAGAAGACCTTGCCAGTTCCTGGCTCTGCATCCTCAATGCCAAATTCCTGTATTCTAGCTCAGGAACCCTCACTAACAGGATTTCCCTTTTTTAAAAAAAATGGCAAAACAGCTGTGAAGGAGCAAGGGCAAGTAGTTCTTTCCTTCTTCCTCCATTTCTGTCTTAACAGTGATGTGAAGAAGTAGAAGTGGAAGCCTCATTTTGGTAGCCAAGCAGTTCCTGTGTGATACCTCTCATTTGGTGGGGGGAGGGGACCGAGGTAGAACTCCCTTGGGGAAAACAGAAATTCAAGCAGGTTTCACTACTTCCCACCTCCTACTTCAAGTAAGGTAAGATGCATTCCCTGAGTATTCTGACAGCCCAGAAAACATGTTCAGAGATCTTGGAGGACCTACTACATCATGCCTGCCTACAGTGCTGCATGGTAACCTCTGTGGTGGATTCAATCACTTAGCCCCAACATCATTCTCAGTGTCTGTAGCAGTTCAAATTGATCACCCCAAAGTCCCTTCAAGGCAGTCTCTTGTGCTCCTGTACTGGGTGGAAAAACAGTCTGGCATCCTTGTCAGCACAGCACATATAGGGAAACCTGACTGCTTAGGTAAACTCAGTTGGGCCACCAACACCTGGCCCGGAATAAATTATCACTGAATGAGGAGGGCTTCCAATGCTTACTAGCTAATGGGCCATACTGGTCATGGATATATTTATTCCAGCCCCTACACCATTAAGAGTAATTTATTCTCTTGATTCCTGAATGAGTAGGTAAATGATGTTTACTAACTCAGCTTTGTATCAGAACAAAATTCAAGTTCAGTGGCACCTTTAAGATGAAGTTTTATTCAAGGTATAAGGTTTTGTGTGCATGCACAGTTCTTCAGATACATTGAAATGGAAGTTACCAGTCCATACCTATAGGTAGAGGGTGAGCGGCAAATCAGCATACAACATAATGAAGATGTATTCCGGAGGAAAACATAGTGAAGCAAATAAATATATCAGAACTGGAGACTAATGTGTAAATTTGGTCCTTGCATCTGTTAAACATCTTCATTATGCTATATGCTAATTTGCTGCTCACCCTCTACCTATATGTATGGACTGGTAACTTCCATTTCAATGTATCTAAAGTATGCATGCACACGAAAGCTTATATCTTGAATAAAACTTTGTTGGTCTTAAAGGTGCCACTGGACTCAAATTTTGTTCTGTTGTTTCAGATCAACATGGCTACCGACCTGAATCTATCAGCTTTGTATCCTTTATCCCCAACCTTTTTGAGCCTCTGGGTATTTTTGGAATTCTGACACATGGTGGCAGGTGCAACTACAAAATGGCTGCCACAAGAAGCAGAGCCAACCACGAAAGGTTAGGCATTGAGGCCACACATAACTCTAATAGTAACTCTTCCAAATTTCAGATAGAAGTTCTGTTTAACAAGATGCCTTTTAAAATGAACGTATTGTTAACATTTTTTTTGCATATACCTTCAGTCATGCAGTGAAGATCCTTGTGCTGTGGTGGCAGCTGCTGCCAAAAGCAATGTTATTTTTTTAATCTGCACAGCCAATGAGATCTCCAGTGGCCAATCAGAAGCCTGCTGGGCAAAAGCTCCAATTTGCTGGTGCCAGGAAAGGTGTCAGTAAGCACCACATTGGGGACCCCTGCTTTAGCTGCTAGCTGGCACTATTCAATCTTCATGGCAGCCAGTTGAAGCCCTACAAGGTGCAAATGGAAAAGTGGACCCAGCCTCACTAGGAACTGCCATTGTTCTAGCAAACTGAGGGCCAGCTGCTTTGAGAAGCAGGATCTCCATGGCCAATACAGGGCAATCAGGATTACTTCTGTTTGGATATGCATAATCTTCCACAGCACTCTGAACAGAACTGGGATCAAAAGAAAAGCATACAACCGTTCAAGGGGCTGAGCCAAGAGTGCATCTATTGCATTGTGTCCTCTTGTAAACCTTGAATGAATAGGAGATAGACCATTTGGAAGGCGCAAGGAAGAATCTCACTTAGTGAACTGTAGATGAGGTGCTGGCCACCTTGTAGGAAGGACTGACTGAAGATCTCCACCTCAATATCTTGAGGAAGCTGATGGCAACCTGGTACAGTATTCTGGAAAGCCAAGGCAGGCCATCCACTTTCAGACATTACTGAAGTCAAGTGATTCCTGTGGGGGGTCTTTTTGTCACTTCTCTTGTTGTTCAGGTGCTCATGAACTTACCTGGAAGGTGGTCTTCCTATTCACCATTGTGCCAGCCAGATGAATTAGGGAGATAGGCACCCTTCCTGTGAGAATAATTCTGTCCTTCACAAGGAAGGGGTGGTTCTTTGTAGTGACCCTTCTTTCACTGCTAAATCAACACCTTCTGTCATAAATCCCAGGAGTTGATTCTTCTCAATTTTTGCCCCAAGCCATCTCATCCAAGAGAGAAATAGTGGCACAACCCCAGCATCAGGAGAGCCAGAGTACCAGACTACCAATATTTCTGTGTATTTTACAGGTGGAGGAATACAAGATCAAATTTCCTAATCCACAGTGGTAGATGGATAAAGAAGTACATAATCCTGTGTTTGGGACAGCCTTTCCCACTGGGATCATGGCCTACTTACTTAAGGATGTGGCTGCTTAAGCAGTTCTCCACAAAAATTTCTTAGATGTTTGTGGAATAGCAATCTTGGTCTCCTCATTAACATTTTGCAGAAGCTGCCTTCCGTAGATGCGTCCTGCAAGTGCTACAGAAACTAGTAGGGAGATTTTGACCACTTGATAACCACCCAGAGCAAACCTCCCCCGATAATTTTCTGTTTCTGTCTGGTTTTAGCAAAAAAAAATTCAAGATTAATATTCTTGAAAATATACTGCATCTAGGTGGAATGTGGTGACAGTCTGACTCCCATAACTTCTGAGGAGGTGATCCTTTGGTAGCAGCTATTATTTCTATCCATTTCCTGCTAGATTTCCTACTGCCA